AGCCTATAACAAAGGCAAATATTGGAGCGCGCATACAGACAAATAAGCACGGATATAGCCGGATAAAAGGTCTGCCAAATGTGTGAACTTTAAGCTTTTATCGGGTACCTGCTAATAAAAGAGTAACAACCATAAACTCGAGTGCGGTGAAGGTTTGGGGAAAGAGGGGGCAGCCAACGATAAATAGATAAGGGCGTTAAAATACAACTTTGTTTTTGTGCTCGGCATCTCCTCCCTGCCGCCCTCAATTAGCAGGAAAATGCATCACAGAGAGGTGCACACGCATATGCATACACTGTGCGAAAAGAAGGCCGTCCAAAAGTCAAGGTGGCGAAATTTGATTTACGACTATCTCACTCCGCTATTGTGCGTCATAAAAATAAGAATTTGGTTCTCATCTTGCGTCACTAGACCTTAATTAAATTGGCAACACTTTTTGTGGATGATACGCTTTAGACGCCTTTAAATATTATAATGTTATTCTTAGCATATTTAATCTTGCCTCGGAATTACATTTTATATTTGATTACGAATTGAACAAAAAGAGAAACACAACTTTCAATTGATATTAGGGATATTAATAAAAAAAATCCAAGTATGCGAAATCTTAACATCATATTTATTATTAATGACAAATCATTTTCTATTAATTCAAGATTAAGAATTCATGGAAAATAATTATTTTGTAATTTTTGTTCTGTGTACGAAGAGAATACATACAATCCACATATATATATTTATGGACGTGCCCTGTTTAAGCAACCATTATCTGGCACGGACCGGAAACACAAGGCAACCTCTATATTGAAGAACAACAAGAACAAGAGTCAGAAGAACAGGCAGCAGAAGAAAAAGAAAAAAAAGCTAGTGAACGAACAGTGCAAAATGTGCCACAACCAGTTGAAAAGAGACAGAGCCATAGAGTTTTCCACTGCAATCGCAGAATTCCAGACAATGTGCAATCAGAAAAGGGGGTAAAGGGGATTGGGGGTTTGGCGGGGAAGTGCAAGCCAATGCCACGCCCACACTAAAGCACTAAAGCACCATGGCAGTATAGAAAACAGAAACTGCCAGCCAAGCCTTTCTTTCTTTCACCGTGACGCCTTTCTCTCTGTGTGTACTGGTGGTCCTGAAAAACCACCCAACGAACCCAACCTAACACAATCCAAGAACGAACTGAACTGAACTAAAGTGAAGCCAACGCCACACAACGATGACATTGAAAGGGAAATTACATTTCATGTTTATTGTCTTAATAAAAATAATGTTTTTGCAAAAGAGGCAAAACCCCCCGACTTTGCCCCCACTTCTTTCTCTCGTATCGCACAAATCATCTCGAATTCAATGCAAAATGCAGATAGATACCTAAGACAATCTGTGCCTTTTGTAATGTATTTTTATAGCAAATGCAGCGAGAAAGCAAAGGAAAGGAGAACAACATTGAATTATTGTTAGCGGTTCAAGGAGTTAAAGCGAAATCCTCTTGAGATTTTTATCAGTGAGGGCGTGATTTATGCCAAAAAAAGATGTACATTTGAGATATATAAATGGAATTGCACCAATCAAGAAATAGTAATTTCAGTTTTCCCTTTATAAGTTGAATAAAAAAGGACACATTACTTATATATATCAAGTCTATCCTTAGGAAAACCAAAGAGTACCATTTTTGGTTTTGCTCATTTCGAAACCACTGTGCATCGGTTTCGTTTTTCGCTCCTTGTTTGCTTTAGCTTCCTTTTGCTGGGTGAGCCGAAATTTAAATATTTGACATTTATTAATGTAATGAAAATGTCATTAAATAAACATGGCAAAATGAAACTGGTTAGCCGAATGTGCGCAGTCAACAGCCGAAATGAAAGCACTTGCCAAGGAATTCCACCTGCTCGGGTATTCCGCAAAAAAACCAAAAACAAAAAAAAAGAGGAGAAGTATATGTGACAAGACCTAGGGAATTATTCGTAAGCTTCGGGGCTGAATGAGGGAGAGGCAGCATTATTTTTTGGCTCTTCGCACATTCGTCCACTGCATAAGCACCTGGACAACACGTGGTTTTTCCGCCACTAGCTGAAAATTGCTTTGAAGCGACGTGGGGAAAATTTGGCGGGGGAAAACAAAGGAATGCTTCTTCATATTGGCTTTTTGGCTTTCTGTCTGCCGCTCCCTCGTACCAGAACACAAAGTGATTCATGTAGTGCAAACATATGTGTATGTACATACAACTGTTTGCCCCGCCGCCCACAGTATCTCCCTGGAGGGAGCGCTTTTCTTTTATTTTCCCAGGCGGTTTTTCCTTCAATGTGTGCCTGGAAAGTTCTTTTATTTCAAATGCTTATTTACGTAAACAATGTGGAAAATCATTGAAAATATGGTACTCTAAAGAGAAGGTGCGAAAAAAAAATACAAATAGGGCTAATAAAAGCTTACAAATGTATAATTAACGGAATGGGTATACCCAAAAAATAGGCTATATTTCTAATAAACAAACGCCTTTTTAAAATGTTTTATATTTTCACCTGCCTTTTTCATCCTTTGATATCCATAATTAGCTTCGAAACTGCTCACCGCTCCCTAACCCATTCCCAAGTATAAATAATTGAATAAATCAATCACAGAACCTAATAAAGACATGAAGAAGAAAATAACCTTAAATTATTTACGCCCTGCCTTTTAAACGGATCCTCTGTGCTTTAAGCACGAATACCCTCAATCAACTATGAATAAATGCGAGCATATGAACAAAAAAAAACTCAATTAATACACCTTGAATGTGAAAATAGCTGCATGGGGCTAAATAATGTACGAAACAAAACAAAACCAGCCAAACTGAACGGCGAAAAAAAATCAAAATTCATGAACATACGTAGGTTTTGGTAGTGAGCCAGACAGACATTCAGCCGGACGAATAGATGGATGGAATAAAGTGAAATAGGTAAATGGATAGTATGCATAGAATAATAAATAGATAGAAACGCCTGCCCGCCCGGGAATCATAGATAAACCCCCAAAGGATGGTGGGAGGTGGTGGGTTGCTCAGTTCCAAATGTAAACAAAATGCAGGCCGCAGGTTCGTATCGGGTACGTATCGGTAAATCGGTAGATCGTTTCGTTTCAGTCCGATTCGCTTCGGGTCGGCTGAAGTTAATATAAACAAGCAACAAGGCAAAAACAGAGACAGCCCGTAATTATTGGACCGCATGTAAAATCGTCTTAAAGCTAAACAAAAAGTCTTAAAGATTGCCCCTCACTAAAACCAAAATGAACTTGATACCCTTCTTTTCCTCTGCTTTTTCTCAACGTTTGCTGCCGTTCTCTCTTAGCAATTGTGTGGAAAATTGAAAATCAAATGAATGCGGTCGCGCACGGGGGAAAGTCGGCGGAAAACGTACGAAGAAGCGACAGAGGGAAAACATAAGCAACAATATCGATATGGCAGCACAGAAATCCAATCCCAAGTCCAACCAAGCCAACAATATGAACTATGTATAAAAGCAACACGAAAATATCGAAGTCCGCTTAACCAAAGGCCAAAACAGTAGAATGCAGAAGAGGCCTTGTCTAAAGTTAGAAAATGGGTGGGTGGTTTGGGGCTTATTGCACTATGAAAAGAGAATACATAAAGCCAGGTCAAGAAGAAATGTGATTGTCCATTTTGTGGCTCTCTTCACAGCTGAGAACGTTGGCAAAAAACAGTTTCATTTTTAATAGAACATTTTATTAGGAGAATTGTTTATTAATATTTGTGGGATAATATTAAAATCTATATTACTATTTGCTACGCACGATATCTACAACTTTAGCAATTGTCTCGGGAACCCCTTCCTATAAACCTACTCATAATTCTTTCGAAACATTTTTTTTTAAATTTAATGGTAAAATATTGAGCAAGCAACAATCTTTATTAGATTTTTGTTTTACTTTAACAACATTTTTAGGGCTTCTAAACAACAATTTTTAAAATGTGTATGTAAGCACACACACATTTAATTTAATATGGTTTCTAAAAAGAACTTGATCCCTGCTGAATTGAAACGATTTCTCTGACATGTTCGTTAACTTCATCATCGATTCGTGTCACCTCTTATTAATTATTGTCGGCTTCCGTTATTGTGGCTGGTGGCTGGGTGAACTTGGGACGGGGGGAAGTCGTCCCAACATATGTGGAAGTAGTTTTCTTTTGGCCAGCAGGGCAATTAGGGGGCGTGGGATAAGGTTAGGGGGTGTTATAGTTAGCCACAAACAATCTGCTGTTTTTTATTTATTCCCCTTCATTTTTTCCCGCATTGTTGTGCTTTGTTCGGTTCGGTTGGGTTCTGTTTTGCAATTTCTGCTATCACAGCTGCAGTTTACCCATTTTTTGTATTCCTTTATCCTCGGGTGCTACGTATGTACATATATTTTAAGGGGGTATTTTCGGGGGGGCAACTTATAGGTTAAAAGGGCCTTCTTTGTTTATCATTATTCTTATGGTAAGGGGATTGTCTATAATGTGGTTGGGGTTTGGGTTGTACTCACCAAGTGATTGAGCATAAATCGCTAAAAATATCGAGAGGAATGAAAGAGCGCTAGCCAAGAATTTTGCCTCCATCTTTGGTATTGATCCGTTGTTGTTGCTGGTTGTTATTAATTATGTTGCCGATGTGTGTTGTTGTTGGTGACTTTGTTGTTTTTGTCGTTTTCGTTATTTCCTTGTCATTTGCATTTATTATAGATTTGTGAATTTACTCCGTTTAATGATTGATTAATTATATGTGGTTGTTGGTTGGTTGTTGTTGGTTGTGGTGTTTCTTTTCTTTTTTTTGTACTTTAAGCTTAACTTACTAAATCATTATGGTAAATATTAATTTATAAATAGATCTTTAAATATATACGTTATTAGGGCTTAGTTATTTAATTTGATATTAGTTGATGCTGTTGATGTTGGTTGGTTTGTTTTGGATCTTCCGTTTGGTGCTTTTGCTTGAATGCGAATTTTTTATTTAGTAATTAAACCAGTGTTCTTATTTTTCTTCTCGCTTTTCTATTTTGTTCTTAATTCATGAAGCTATTTTCGCAAATAAAATATTAAAGAAAATTCTCATTTTGTATTTATTTTCGTTTGAAGGCACTTTTCTGCGCTTCCTCTTCTTTTTCGTCTTATACTTTTTGATGTGTCTTTCGTTCGGTTTTAATTTTATGCTTTTCGCAACAACAAAATAAAATATGAAAAATCAGTGAAAGAAAAAGAAAGGTAACAAGAGTGAAAGAGAGGCCGAAAACTTTTCAAAATACATAAATTGAAAAATTAACAGGGGGAGAAGCACAATCAAGGATGCAACAAAATCAAAAAAAACCAAAACCAAAACGAAAGCCGAACGAACAACATTTAACAGTCAACTAAATATAATTTTTCAAAAAAAATTTTTTTTTTATTTTATTATATATTTTTTTGTTTCTGCTAAACACGTGCTGTCCACACAAGGGGCGGGGGTAGTTCAACCTGCTAATTTAACGCTAACTTTCTTAGCTTTATTTTCACGCACATTCGGAAAAGCTTTCACACACACTCATAAATACTTGTCCCAGTCCAAAAATTCTATTTTTTTGCTGGCAAAACAGAAAAAAGAAATTATGGCACGTTGACGACGACGAAAATACTATTTTTCTAGCTAGACACAGAGCAAGAAATAGAGAGACAGACAGTGAGAGATTCTTGAGACTGAGAGCAAATAATTATCTTTTTACACAAGGAGCGCAACAATTTATATCTTCTTTTTAGAAAATGGCCTTTGTTGTTGCTAATTCCGCAAGGTAGTAGTCGTACTTATACTAGTTGTTTTTGTTGTTGAACAACGGGAACACAAATAGCGAATCTGGCCAAAACGAACGGGCCGAAACGAGGCGAACGGAACAGAACAGAGCGAACGGAGCGAACGCGGCGAATTCAGCGAGCAGACTGAACCGAAAACACATGACCAACGGACGAGAGTAGCCTCCTCTTCCTCTTCCTCTGTCGGCGTCGCTGCCACAGCGCCGTCGACGCACAGTGATTTGGGTTTCGTTTGATATACACTCGTCAGCTTATCTTAATAGTTCAGTCGTTATCTTGACCAGGTCGATTACGGGCGTTTCACAAAATGGCGAAAATAGGGTGCATCAGAATTATCTAGACATTGAAAAAATATTATATAGTAGTCTAAAATACTGCTACAAAATATTTTGAGTTCAGAAGCCCAAGCATTAATGCCATTTCCCCTTTTTTTACAGCATACTTTTGAACATTTTTTTAGTTGGTTTCAAATCACCAGAAATCAGAAACTGATTAAAAAAGATAGAATTTATAGATTTGTTTTTAAATAAGAAAAGATATTGCATGGAAATAAAATCTTTGATTAAGAGGAAACTTGTACTAATCTTTAGAAATGGATATTAATACCCCTAAGGATTTTTGTTTTATTTACAATTTACTTTCCAGCTTATCTTTGGAGTTCAGTCTTTATCTTGACTAGGCCGATTACGAACGTAATAGCGAAAATATGGGTTTAAGTATAAATTATACACAATATTTTTAACCTGGAATATCATTCCTTATTTAAGAAAAATTATATTAATGCTATATTTTTAATTAATCAAATGCGGTCTTCCTTATTGAGGGTGCCAATAAAATATAATTTACTCTATTATATCACTACTACTAAATATATAAATTTTCTATTCCCCCTTTACACTCCACTCAAACTTTTGATTTACTTTGGAAAAAGACTTTACGCACAGAATCAAACCACAAATTACAATGCAATCGAGGAATAATTGTACGAAGATCGCCAAGTGACAATGCCTGAGAGTAATTACAGCCAATTTGTTGATGATCGAATCAAAATAAAATTCCGTTTGCTGACTGCATGACGTCCGCATAACCGCTGATAACTATATCTATTATTTCTAGAATTTCGTATTGCGGATGCGTCGACAGAATAACTAACTCCAACCTTATCAAATGCGGGAGGACAAGTACTGACTAAACAGTGAAGAGAAAAAGGAGAGACAGACAACATAACTGATAACCATCCTTAAGTATACCAAGAAGTTTAAATACTATTTAAATGCTATTGTCCTATAACTAATCATTAAAGAACTATATAGATAATATAATTTTACTTTAAGGTGGGCAATAATGTACTATGTACTATAAAAACAATAAAACATTTTTTAAAAGCATTTTAAGATGCCGAAAAACATCTAAAACTAATAATAATAAATTTCCAAAACTCTGGCAATAAAACAGTCAAACTGAAAACGCTTAATCATAGTGCGGTGGGGTTTTGTTTACCGCTAGACGACGTGCGAGCAGAAGCAGAAGATGGAACAGCGGTAGAAATATTTCCGTAACGTGTCACGAATCAGATTCTCATTATATCGCATTAAGATAAAGCCCCAATGCAGTACTTTGAACAAATACGTTCCACCACCCCGGCCACATGATATAATATTATAATATAGCGAAGCATGGTCGACAACGACGTCAGATGTCCGCGGCCCAGTCACAGAGTCCCAAAGACCCAGACCGTCGTCCAAACTGACCGCTCTGGTCCATTGCCGTCCCGCTCGCACTACCGCACTGGTTTCGGGCGGTTCTGTGCGGTTCGCACATGAACATACTTATATCCATCTTTTCGGGCAGGGAACTTTGCTAATTCGGCATGGGGTTTCGGATCGGGGGATTAGGAAGAGCGGACGGGGGATCGTCTCGTCGCATTTATTATTGGTCAGCAGTATTTATTTTTACAAATTTGCGAGAACAAATATGAAATCAGCTGTTTGCATTACCCGCTGAGCGTAACGATCAAGGGTGTATAGTATTTGATGAGGTGTTTGCAACACACATATTAAATAATTTTCAATGCTAGCAGATTTAATACGAAACTCAACAAGGTATGTGTCATTTTGGGGAGTTGTTCCCACACAACACAGATTAGAGTAAAGAAATAATATATTATTCTTCTTATCTATCTGTTCACTTCACAACTTGTATCTCTTAGAGGAAATATCGTTCTAGAAGTCAATTGTTATGACGAAAATGCAAAATTGGTTTTTATGTGGTTAATATATTTTTCAAAGCTCTTTCAATTGATTTAGTTTATATATATAGAATATATTATTTATATTTATTTATAATATATCAATAGAATATATTATTTATAAAATATGATCCGACCTTTGACACCCAATTAAACTGTTTTTTTTTTCTTAGGCGAAATAATATGGCATTTTAATAAATGAAAATAAAATCGAATTTATGGGCAGTTAAAACAACCAATGGCCTAATCTTTCAATATGGTAAATTAGTTTCATTTCATGACCTAATAAAATAATCATTAGGTTGCTATCAACGCAGATAGTTTTTTTTCCCATCCAATAAGACAACCAGTACACAAAAGTGATTTCATCTCATTTCAGGCCTTCAGAATTTTCTTTTAAAATCAGATTTATGACGGAGTGGGAGCATCCTACACAAACTAGTTTCTAAAGCCGTGTTTTTGGGTGCGGAGGAGGTGGGTGCGGGAGGGGATATGCGGCATGTTATCGATTCGGAAAAGAAACAAAAAAAACATTGCTATCGATTTGCTGCTGGCCTCGAGGTCAATCGAATACTAAATGCCATGGTAGTTGTATGTGCGGGCATTTGTGCCAAAGTTTTGTTCCTTCTTCTTTCGCGTTTTATTGGCAAACTTTGAGCATAAACACTTTGGAGACAAATTGCTTTAACCGCAAGTTAGGCAGCGAAATATAATAGAGCAGAAAAGAGCAGCAGCATAACGTCATCGTCAGCCATGACTCAGTTTATTTGCTCTCTCGCACACTCACTCAACTCAAGCCACACAAAAAACAAAAAGCGGCACACTCACACAGACGATGCTGTTTTGAGCTGGGGCCAAAAATCGAACTTGGGATGCCATGCCGGACTAAAAAAAATAAATTAAGCGAAAAAGTCATTTTTCGAGCGGAGGTGCCAATTAAAATGCCTTAATTAAAAGGCTTAGAAAAATATGACTGAGCTCTATCACAATCGAATTCACGCGCTCGGTGAAGAACTTTTCTTCTTCTTTACTTGGCCAATAAAGTTCATTCAAATGAGTGTGAGGGGGTGTAGTCATTGATGGTAAAGTACAGTGAAGACTGACTTTAAATATTACTTGTTAAAACCAATGTATAAATCTTACTTGAAAAGCAAAAATCAATACTATAATTAGAGTTTCTTAAAAGTTTCTGAAGTTTAGCGTTTTTGCATATGGAATCACTTAAAACCCACAAGATCCGCAAAGTATGCTATAAGCATTTCAAAATTTTTAGTTCTTTTCTGTTTTAAAAAAAAATATAAGTTAATAAGGTTTACAATGTTATCTAATGGCAATTAAAGGAGCAACTTTAAAAACGAGTATTATATAGAAGTAGTATCGACCACATTATACCATTGTGCTAGCGATCCGCGAAGTATGCAACGGATTTTGGGTTAGCAAAAAGCCGCTATAGAAGTGAATTTGGTTTAATTTTAGCTTTTTCAAAACCGTGATTATTGGCCAAGGGGCCTTACTGTATAGATGTTGATGTTGGTGTGTCATGGCAGGCTGGATGACGTGATTGTCTCCTCTTCTCTCCTCTCTCTCTCACTGCTTTCTCCTCTTTCTCCGTTCGCCCGCATATGATTAAAACGGCAAAACAAGATAAAACTCGTTGGAGCAAAGGAGCTGCTGTATTGTTTTTTTTTGTTGTTGGTTGGATAGGCTTTGCCAGTGGGTCAGTGTTGGAAAAGGGGGAAAGGGGGCGGCAAAAAGGGGGTATTGTGGGAGGAAAAATATACGCATGACACTCCTTGCCGCCGCACTCACACTCTCGCACACAGATACACGAACACCAGTGGAGCACGCAACACACGCACACGAGGTCACTCACACAGGCGCACGGCCCTACTCCCCGCACACACCCACACACACTCGCACGCATTAAATGTTATTAGTTTATTTACAGTATTAACAATAAAGTGCCTCGAATGTATAGTCTACATCGTACATCACTCTGGAGTATGAATGTACGAAAGACCATATGTACATATATGTATTTTTTTAACACTTTGGCATAGTATTGCGTTCGGTTTTTAGTTATTTTTTAGGAAGAGGGTATCTTTTTAATCTTTCTCTTTTCGCCTTTCTTCTTTCTTTCTTTTCTTTTTAGCAGCGATGACGACAGCGTGCGCGGCTGCCCAGCTTTTTTGCCTTCAATAACATTTACACTTTGCACTATTTATGTAATAGTTTTTCAATCGGTGCGCGGTGTTTCATCTCATCACGATTTTCGGGCACTGGCTGGTGAGCACTTTGCCGCAGACTGGGTTACGAATTATGTACATTTTTCACATTTTTCCCCGATGATTTTTCTTTTGTGTTTTACAACCAAAGAAGAGAACAAACTACCAATACACACGCACGCACTCTCGCACACACACACACAGCGAGCGAGGCACGCACCACACACACACTCGCACACATGTACACCGCTCAATGACGAAATTCCTTGCAGAACGGTGACAACTCTAGGTTCTAGCTCTCCCAGCTCCTATGCATGGGTGTGTGTGTGTGCGAGAGAGAGGGCACTGGTACTGGTGTGCTTTTCGTCATAATTTTTGCGTTGGGCAACCCAGCACCTTTGACTTTTCGGCGACTTTTCACTTGCAAAATGCCCAAGCGGGCACACACTTTCACCGCTGGCGGACGGTCTAAGGGTTAAACCGATCGACTTTGCACTCTTTTTTGCATTTACCTAGCACACAAAACACAAAAATTCGATTTTTTCCTCGCTGATATTTTCACGCGAATGACCTTACATCACATGCATACAATACACACACACACAGACAACTGAGGCAGTGGTATGACCAAAGTACGCATTTCAATAACCGCTATAATACTCCGCGATATATACCAAAAAAAAGCAGTTCTGCGCCATTATCTAACACTGGTTGAAGATTTGGCCGTCTCTTTATTTGCTCTGTCTATTTCTCTTAGCCCTTAAGAAAATAGTACAAATTCTTTTTTAAGAACATATTTTTGAAGAACTCATAAAAAATATTTATTTATTTATTTATTTATATATTACAAAACCTAAAAATTTAAGCAGGTTTTTTTTAAATCATCACTTTATGGTAATCGTTTATTTCAAAATATATCATTTTATAAGATTTCCGAAAATTTTCATTCAAAAAATAAAAATTTTTTTTTGAAATGTAGTTTTTGTGTTTTATTTTAATTGTTAAAATGTTTTTTTTTAATCTTCATTTCATAATAACTCGATTTGGTTTGTTATTTCAAAATGATGTCAGTTTATAAGATGTCTAAAACTGTTGTTTTAAATTATATAGTTTAATTTTTTTTATTAATGATTGTTAAAATTATGATTGGTATACTTATCTCCGCAAGACTATTTCCACTGGTGTGCGTGAAATTTATGATACCGTAATTTACTAATTTGGCTGGGCTTAAGTTATTGTTTTATTTTTAAACTTTTCTATTCAAAAAGAATTTAAAGTCCTGACGGGACTCGCATTACCTCGTTATTTTCTGGTCTCACCTGGAATATGGTATTTTTAAGCCGAGTGGTATGTTTCTATGCTCCTAGGACGGTCACACTGTATAAGTCATCAAGGCGGGTGTGGATCGCTGCTGGTTTTTATTTAATTTCTTCGAATATTTGAGTTCCCGAGTTAGTTTTATTTACCTTTCTGTTGATTAATACAATGTGTGTGGCCTGCTGATCACCAAGAACATATCGATTTTATTAACGAGGTAAGTAAAGTGGCGTTTTTAGTGCTGTTCCACTTGGCGACCCGCCCAATTTGTGTTTGGCTGTCTAAAAAATGCCTAAGCCAGTGTTATTGTGTTGTTGTTGGCACATGGGCGTTGACCGAAAACTAAAGAAGTGCTTCAGATATTGGCTTAAAATTTTCCCAATATTTGTTTTGTCAATAGAAAACGTAATTGATAAAGTGGAGGGAGTTCTCTAAGACGTGCTTTATTCCTGTTAAAAGGAAATACAGGAAAGGCGTTTTAGCCACCTGCTGCCCAAATGGATTCCGGCGTCTATCTTTAGTTTTACTGCTGTGAAGCTCTCGAATTTCGCCAACAGTTGCTCCTTTCACAACCCAAAATGTCCTGCCTGCCGTTTCAATTGCACTTTTGCCCTCTCAACTTATTTTGAATGGGTCTTCTCGGCTAATTAATGCCCACTTTACTCACTACGGTTGTAATGGTGTGCCCTTGTACACAGAAAAAAAAAACAAATACAAAAATAATATAAGTTTTACAATTTAACATAAGATTTTAAACAAGTTCCAATTAGGTTTTGGTTTATAATTTGTTATTAAAAATATATATATAAACGAAATTAATTTATGAAACTGAAAAGTAAAAAAAATTATTTTTTGTACCATTTCAAATTTAATAAAGCCCTAAAAATAAAAAACAAGTATTCATCTTAAAGGAAAATTATATACATATTAGTTACTGTTATTTTTTTCTGTGCAGAAGAGTCCGAAGGGTGGATTACAAGTCGCTGTTGTTGAAATTATTACGAGTTCGGTATTTGTTTTCATGCCGAGAGTAGAGACCCCTATAGGCCAGTAACTTCTGCTGCTTCAGTGCACAGAGTATCTCGCCCAGGCACATAAAGACACCTATGTCTATGGTCAGGTAGCGGCCGTTTTATTTGCGTGTTTCGCTCAGTTCCAGTGTGTTACTTTTTCCTCCTTTCCTCGCCGGTAAATGCATTTCAAATGCATACACACTCCCTCTGTCCTACAGTTTCATTTCACATTATTCGGTTTTCTATATTATGTCAGAAGTCGGTGCCTTATTGTTCTGCCGGTTTGGTTCCTTTGTATGGTTGCCTCCAACTGTTGGCTTTTTACCTAGGCCAAGGCGTTAATACCCGAATAGGGAGGTTTTCGAGGTCCTTGCTTGAATGATGTATTCCCTGTCTCCTGGCTGATAGTGTGCTGATAAGGCGGAGTCCTTAAATTATGTGCATTTTTTAAAGATGCAAACATTCCACCACCGACATTTTGCAAAAGTTATAATAAACCCGTAAATATGTGCATTTAAAAAGAGAAGTAACGGAAAAAAAGCCTTTCCAAATAATTTTAAAACACTTTGTTGTACCCAAACGGAGGAAAATAAAGAAATAACAAGAAAGGAAAGCTAACTTCGGGCGGAGCCGAAGTTGAAATACCTTTGCAGAATATTCTGCAAATTATATTCTCCAAAATTATTCATATGATGAATTCTTAATAACAAACACTAAACTTATGGCATTTCCGATCAATCAGTTATATGGCAGCTATAAGATATAGTCGGCCGATCCTTTTGAAATTTGGTAGGTCGGATTAATTGGCCAAATATAAAACCCATAGAAAATCCCAAATTCCTAACTTAACAAACAGCAGAGTTATGGCATTTCCGATCAATCAGTTATATGGCAGCTATAGGATATAGTCGGCCGATCCCGGTCGTTCCGACTTATATACTGCGTGCAAAGGAAAGAAGGGTGTGTGCAAAGTTTCAATTCGATATCTTTAAAACTGACAGACTAGTTCGCGTAGAAACAGACAGACAGACGGACAGACAGACGGACAGACGGACAGACGGACATGGCTATATCAACTCAGGAGGTGATCCTGATCACGAATATATATACTTTATAGGGTCGGAGATGTCTCCTTCACTGCGTTGCACACTTTTGACCAAAATTATAATACCCTCTGCAAGGGTATAAAAATGCTACATAATGTTATTCCTTATTCAAAACTATTATTGCGATTTGACCCTGCCTTTAAAAAAAAGTTTTAATTTTAATATATATTTGCTTATTTTAAATCATACTACAAAGACAATATTAAAAGTCAATCAAATCAATGATGATAACATATTTAGAACTATGCACCCAATGAAATGTTTATTACTTCACTTAATTATAAACATTTATTTGGGTGCATAATTCTGTTCGTGATCAAAGCGGTTTGTGATGGAGGGATTTCATAATCTCAACCAAGTCAACAATAAATTACAGAGGCATTAAAAATGCATTCGGCGGGAAACTTGGATGCCCCAAATCCCTGCCTGGCACACATCTTTACATCTGAGACTAATTGCACAGCCGCCCACTTGAATGACATTTTACTTAATGTTTGACATAGTTTCAATAGTAGCCCCTTCTCAAGATCTCCGTAAAGATACGTTCATTGCTCCTGCCAGATCGAGTCTATAGTCTATTAATACCGATGTCGGCGCCCTCATTAACGACTTGTTCGCAGCACGCGGAAATCAACCAACCAAACAAAATCCTCGAACATGAGTTGCGGCCCATGATTTAATCAGTAGGGTGTGTCGGACTTCTATTCAAACAAGAAAGGAAAGCTAACTTCGGGCGGAGCCGAAGTTGATATACCCTTGCAGAATATTTTATAAATTATATTGTTATGTTTGTTAGTCTTTCTAGTCCCTACGTTTTATAGCCATTTAATTGGCTGATTAACGTATAAATAAAATATATGTTATATTAAAAAAAAAAAAAAATATATTGTCCAAAATTATTCATATGATGTATTCTTAATACTCATAAAATGTCCCAACTTCCTAACTTTAAAAACACCAAAGTTATGTCATTTCCAATCGTTCAGTTATATGGCAGCTATAAGATATAGTCGGCTGATCCTTATGAAATTTGGTAGGTCGGATTGATTAGCCAAAAATAAAACCCATAGAAAATCCCAACTTCCTAACTTTAAAAACACCAAAGTTATGGCTTTTCCGATCAATCAGTTATATGGCGGCTATAGGATATAGTCGTCCGATCCTTATGAAATTTGGTAGGTCGGATTGATTAGCCAAAAATAAAACCCATAGAAAATCCCAACTTCCTAACTTTAAAAACACCAAAATTATGGCTTTTCCGATCGTTCAGTTATATGGCAGCTATATGATATAGTGGCCCGATCCGGCTCGTTCCGACTTATATACTACCTGCAATAGAAATACAACTTTTGGGAAAGTTTCAAGCAGATAGCTTTAAAACTGAGGGACTAGTTTGCGTAGAAACGGACGGACAGACGGACAGACGGACAGACGGACGGACAGACGGACGGACAGACGGACAGACGGACATGGCTAGATCGACTCTCCTGGTGATGCTGATCAAGAATATATATACTTTATAGGGTCGGAAATGTCTCCTTCACTGCGTTGCAAACTTTTGACTGAAATTATAATACCCTCTGCAAGGGTATAAAAAGGTGAAGAATCTTGATATTTTATTAAAAGAATCTTAGTTTTTAAAAGGGCAGCTTCATACTGAATAGATCAGATACCAAAAATATTTTTTTTCCACATTGTTAGCAAGAAAAACGTATAATTTGTGGGACTTAAACAATTTAAGTCGTTGATCACGATTATTTATTCGATAAAAATACAAAAAAAATTTATGTGTCCTCTTCAACCAATCTGATTTTTGTGGCAGGTAAAATTAAGTTCCAAAAATTGATACACCCTATTGGACAGGCATCGAACGACAGCCAGAACACCCAAATAAGAGCCCTCTATTTATAGTACTTGGGAAATGCAGTTGTATTCTAATTCATTCACTTCTGACTTCTCCTCAGCACAGCCAAGCAGCAATGATGTGGCACTTGCTGCGCGCCCTGCTCGTTGTAGCCGCCATTTTGGATGCACTGCAGCCGGCGGTTGGTCAGAGCGATACCTACTACAACCCAAACCCGAATCAGCAGAATCCCCAGCAACCGCCCAACCAACAGTGGGGCATCAATCCCCAACCGAATCAATATGGCAACAACAACCAAAATAATGGTCAAACGAATCCCAACGATCGCCCGCCGTACAGGACGGATTCTGGGAGCTTCAACGATCTTACCGGGCAGGATGCATACGGTAAACGAGTGGAAGGAGGTTATCAGGACAACGAGGAGCCGAGTTTGACCCGAGGAAAGTCTTCTTATAATATCAAGGCCACCTTCCTGGAGTCGCTGCATTCGAGGGAACCCACCTACTTCATCGTAGCTTCCCGAATGGTCAGGCCAGGCTTGATCTACCAAGTGTCCGTGTCCATTCTCCAAGCTCAATACCCGATTACCGTTCATGCCAGCATCGCCTGCGATGGTGTCCAAATCAGCGGCGACTCCAAAGATGTAAAAGAGGGCGTGCCCGAGACATTGCTTATGAGGATCCCACCCACCAGTGTTACTGGAAGCTATAAACTTAGAGTAGAGGGATTCTACCAAAATGTTTTTGGAGGCCTGGCTTTCCTCAACGAAACACGACTGGACTTTTCACAGCGATCCATGACAATATTTGTGCAGACCGATAAGCCACTTTACATGCAAGGAGAAACTGTGAGATTCAGGACCATTCCCATTACTACCGAACTCAAGGGATTTGACAATCCCGTGGATGTGTACATGCTGGATCCAAACAGGCACATTCTGAAGCGTTGGCTTTCGCGGTAAGTTCTGTTATAAAAATATAGAAAGAAATATCTGGACAATTTCTAAATAAAATGAATTAAATATTCCAACCATGCTTTAAGTTATTGTCCAATTTGTTCAACCATTAATTCCTTTAAGAAATAACTAAACTTCACCTTTTATTTATCCAGTCAATCGAACTTGGGTTCCGTTTCTCTGGAGTACAAGCTGTCAGATCAACCCAGCTTTGGCGAGTGGACCATCCGTGTGATTGCCCAGGGACAACAGGAGGAGAGTCACTTCACCGTGGAGGAATATTACCAGACTCGCTTCGAAGTGAATGTTACCATGCCAGCCTACTTCTTTACCACCGATCAGTTTATTTACGGAAGGGTGATGGCCAACTTTACCAGCGGTCTGCCAGTAAGAGGTAATCTTACTATCAAGGCTACGATCCGGCCAATTGGATACTTTAGCAACCAGGTGCTCAATGAGAAGTACCGCCTGGGCCGGTCGCCTTTGGAGCAGACTAACCGATACAATGAGCGATGGCGATACAATAATCCCAACCAGAATCCTCAAGTCCAGTATAATGTGCCCGGACAGCTGCCCCAGGATGGAGCGGATCTCTCGCAAGATATCTTGTACAGGAATCAGTATGTGGTGGAGCGACACTACCAGTTTGAAGAGGAATGGCCCTTCTGGGTGAAGAAACGCGAGTACCAGGACAGCTATTACTCATGGAGTGGAGGATATCGGAATACTCTGCCCTTCCTTCGCTACTTTAATGGAACCTTTGATTTCAAGTGGCCTTTGCGTGAGCTGGAGCTCCTCGTGCCTAATTTGGCGAACTCGGAAGTGCTGATAACGGCCACTGTCGGTGAAAAGTTCTACGATGAGAGCATCAGTGGTTACTCCGTTGCCAGGGTGTATAACTCCAGTTTGCGAGTGGTATTCCTAGGAGAATCCCCTCAGGTTTTTAAGCCCGCCATGCCGTTCACAACTTATCTGGCGGTAGAGTACCATGATAGCTCGCCAATCGATCCGAATGTACTGCGCCAGGGCTTGATGGAGGTCACTGGCTTTGTGGAGAGTCGCAGTGGCGGACGCAGGGATTGGCCCGCTCAGAGATTACAGATGTCCCAGCAGAGCGATGGCATCTGGGAGGTTAAGATTGATATCAGGAATGATCTAAATCTGGACGACCGTCCACAATCAAGGGAATTCTTGAACGGCATCCATAACATGCGGTTGCAGGCTCACTTTGTGGATCCGCGGGGTGAACGCGTCCAAACGGAGCTGCTTTTGGTGTCCCATTTTTCTCCCAGGAATCAGCATATCAAGGTAACCACCAGCACTGAGCAGCCTGTGGTTGGCGAGTACATAATTTTCCACATTCGTACGAATTTCTTCCTGGAGGAGTTTAACTATCTCATTATGTCGAAGGGAGTTATCCTGGTGAATGATCGCGAGACCATCACAGAGGGTATCAAAACCATAGCTGTGGTTCTAAGTTCCGAAATGGCACCTGTGGCTACTATTGTGGTGTGGAAGATTAACCAGCAGGGACAGGTTGTGGCAGATTCCCTCACGTTCCCAGTAAATGGCATCTCCCGGAATAACTTCACCGTATACATCAACAATCGCAAGGCGAGAACTGGCGAGAAAGTGGAGGTGGCTATCTTTGGAGAACCTGGATCCTATGTGGGGCTTTCTGGAATAGACAGTGCCTTTTACACGATGCAAGCGGGCAATGAACTTACCTATGCCAAGATCATCACCAAAATGTCGAACTTCGACGAGCAGACCAACGGAACTTATAAGCATATCTGGTACTCCCATGAGGGAAACCCCGATGAGTTGGTGTACTTCCCCGCTTCGTCTTTTGGCGTGGATGCGAATCGAACTTTTGAGTACAGTGGCTTAGTGGTATTTACCGATGGTTATGTGCCCAGGCGGCAGGACACTTGTAATCGCACTTTGGGCTTCGGGGAATGCTTGAGTGGACGTTGCTATCGCCTTGAAAAGCAGTGCGATGGCTTGTTTGATTGTGATGATGGAACCGACGAGATCAATTGTAATTTGAGGAATGACACAGAGCTGTTGAACTACAGAAAGTACCGATTCAATCGCGTGCTGCGTCATTACGAGAATGTGTGGCTCTGGAAGGATGTTAATATTGGACCCCATGGTCGATTCATCTTCAATGTGGAGGTGCCCGATCGCCCTGCCTACTGGATGGTGAGTGCTTTTAGTGTGAGTCCATCCAAGGGTTTCGGAATGATTAACAAGGCTTTGGAGTACGTTGGAGTTCAGCCCTTCTTCATCAACGTGGAAATGCCGGAGGCATGCCGACAGGGAGAGCAGGTTGGCATCCGTGTCACAGTGTTTAACTATATGACCACTCCGATCGAGGCGATTGTTGTGTTGCACGGCAGTCCGGACTACAAGTTTGTGCACGTAGAGGAGGATGGCATTGTAAGGTCCTATAACCCTAGAACCAGCTTCGGTGAGCACCAGTTCTTCATCTACTTGGAGGCCCAAGGCACAACGGTGGTGTATGTTCCAGTGGTCCCTCAGCGTCTGGGCAATGTTGATGTGACCCTGCACGTGGCTACTTTGCTGGGAACAGATACCATTACCAGAACGTTGCATGTAGAGTCTGACGGTCTGCCACAGTACCGTCATCAATCCTTGCTTTTGGATCTCTCGAACCGCGCCTACGTCTTGGAGTACATGCATGTAAATGTAACACAAACTCCGGAGATTCCCTACCAAGTGGATCGTTACTTTGTTTACGGCTCGAACAAGGCTAGGATATCGGTAGTGGGCGATGTGGTCGGTCCCATTTTCCCCACCATGCCTGTGAATGCCAGCTCCCTGCTTTACCTGCCCATGGAGTCGGGCGAACAGAATGCATTCAGCTTTGCCGCCAATCTCTACACGATTATGTACATGCGATTGATCAATCAACGCAACAAAACTATGGAAAAGAATGCTTTCTATCACATGAATATTGGGTATCAGCGCCAGTTGAGTTTTATGCGGCCCGATGGCAGTTTCTCACTCTTCCGCTCCGATTGGAACAACTCCGATTCGTCCGTTTGGTTGACCAGCTACTGCCTGAGGGTGTTCCAGGAGGCCAGCTTCTACGAGTGGGAGAACTTCATTTGGATCGATGCCGCCATTGTGGAGAAGAACATGCGTTGGCTTTTGCAGCATCAGACGCCCCAGGGCTCCTTCTACGAGGTTACTTGGCTACCTGACAGAAAGATGAATCGCACCAACTTTGACAAGAACATCACGCTCACTTCACATGTCCTCATTACTCTGGCCACTGTAAAGGATATCTCCGGCACTTTGGGATCTCGAGTTGCTTTGGCCACCCAAAGGGCGTTGTCTTATATAGAGAGAAATATGGACTACCTGAGACGCGTGGCGCAACCATATGATGTGGCCATTACAGCCTACGCCCTTCAGCTTTGCAACTCTCCCATAGCCGAGGAGGTATTTACCATTCTGCGACGCCATGCCAGGACCATAGGAGATTTTATGTACTGGGGCATCCAGGAGATACCGCAACCCCCGCGTAAATTGGAGAATCAAAAGTGGTTCTCCCTGCCCCGCCTGCCTTACGAATATGATTCCCTAAACATAGAAACCACCGCCTACGCGTTGTTGGTCTATGTCGCGCGACGTGAGTTCCTCGTGGATCCCATTGTTAGGTGGCTCAACTCGCAGCGCTTAAACGACGGCGGATGGGCATCCACTCAGGATACCAGTGCAGCACTCAAGGCCCTTGTCGAGTACACAGTTCGATCGAGGTTGCGCGAGGTGTCTTCGCTGACCGTGGAGATCGAGGCCTCTTCGCAGGGCGGTAAAACGCAAACCCTTCTCATAGATGACACAAATCTGGCGAAGCTTCAGAGTATCGAGGTAAATATTTAAATTAATTTTGTAAATAAATAAAAATTAAAAATATTGTCTTTTTTAGATTCCAGATGCCTGGGGTACAATCAAGGTTCAAGCAAAGGGCGCTGGTTATGCTATCCTGCAGATGCACGTGCAGTATAATGTGGATATTGAGAAGTTCCAGACCAAGCCGCCAGTGCCAGCCTTTGGACTCCACACGAAGGCGATCTTCCACGGCAGGAATCAGTCGCATATTTCCTACGTGGCCTGTCAAAAGTAAGTGTATTCAACGTTTAAAATATAAGACAATTTTAAAATTGATATATAAACCTAGCTGGATAAATGTCAACGAGTCGCAGCGCTCGGGCATGGCTGTTTTGGATGTGGCTATACCCACGGGCTATTGGATACAGCAGCAAAAGTTGGACAGCTATGTACTCAGCAATCGCGTCAGGAATCTGAGAAGAGCTCGTTATCTGGAACGCAAGATTGTCTTTTACTTTGACTACGTAAGAAACAAGTGAACAAAATTAACGAATGTAATCTTGAACTTCTGACCCTTTTTCCAACAGCTTGATAAAGAAGATATCTGTGTAAACTTCACCATAGAACGCTGGTATCCAGTGGCCAATATGTCGCGCTATCTGCCGGTGCGGGTTTACGACTACTATGCACCGGGTAAGTGGAATCTAGAAAAATTAATATCCAAGCATTCCCGACTGAACCATATTTTCCCAACTGTGATTACAGAACGCTTCAATGAATCGATTTTCGATGCCCTGCCCACATATCTGCTGAACATCTGCGAAGTGTGCGGCAGCTCACAGTGTCCGTACTGCTCCATTTACAACATGGGCTGGCGCGCATCCATGTCCATGTCTCTGCTCTTCTTCAGCGTGTTTATATACCTGCTGCGGAGTCGTACGCACCTGGTCCTAAACATGATGCAACTGCTCACATAGGGAAGAATGAAAAGTATACACAAAGTCACCCCCGAAGATTTGTAGTGTTTTTGTTCAATTATGCGTTTACTTTTTAGTTTTTGTTTTGAGTTGTAGTTTTTTTTGTTTTCCAACGAAATTGCATTCCGTCCAAAAATGCTGGTCAACATTTTGGTTTTATTTTTAGTTTTTTCTCTGTAGACCCGCTGTAGAATCGAATGTACAAAACAGCAGTTAATCGTAAATTAATTTTTATTTTTATTGCTGAACAAAGAATCTTCTGCTGCACGCAAAGCAGACCACATGTAGCCACCTAATGTATCTTGTAAGTCGTAACGAACCATACTATGCCTTATCATAGAGCGGGCCCCAAGTGCGGAATGAAAAATCAATCAATGTGTCTTTCACAAAATGCCTTTAATAGATTTTAGAAATCATTAGCAAATGTATCTTGACAAAATGTTTGCATACATATCGAATGGAAATTTATCTAATTTGTATTACAAAACTCTTGAATATTTTTAAACAAAATTAAGCGAAAAACGTTGAAGAAACCGTCCAATTAATTTATGCAAATAATTAATCTGCATAGTTTGTAAGTTTTATACTACTTATATACCACCCACATAAACCACAATTAGTTTGTAAATTCTACACACAAATCTCACATAGCCATGTACATGAAGCTAAATAAGCGTGGAAGAAGAAGGAAATACCCCCGTCTGTATACAACTTTGATGAGTGCCTCCCTACCCGTAAGAATCGAATCTCTATATGAAGTAACATGTGTTTTCTTTTGTAATAAATGAAGCCAGAAAATAAATGAAAGTAATGTATTACTAATTGTGTTTTTATTCCTAATAACATAATAAAAATAAAATATGGTTAAATAAAACAAGGATATAAATTGATAAAGTTATGCTGTATTTAAAAAGTTTTTTGAGGTTCTCTCCAACTCTTATAAATTTTATATAACAAATAATTTGCTTGAGTTGAAATAGAAAAGCTATATTTTAACTGTTATAAAACAATATCGGATCTAGTCGGAAATAGTCTTATTTTAAATGACAAACGAGTAATTCCAATAACAAGACCAAAGTGAGCGTTTACGTATAAAATAGAACAAATTAAATATGTTTATGCTTATGATTTCTTAATTAAAGCTGCTCTTCTAAAAAAATACTAATTCAGAATTACATTTTTAACAAAATAATATAAGCTCTAAATAAAAATCATTCTTATATAGGTAAACTACGCTAACTAAAAATAGAGTTGGTATGCGGAGATCCTACTACGTCTTTCGAAAGCTGAGTAGGATTGGTGATATTGCCTCCAGGCAGTCCATGATATCCTTGCGCGACTTGGCGCCCGTGAAAACCACCTTGCCATTGACGAAGATCAGGAGAACAATGCGCGGCTTGACCATGCGGTAGATGAGGCCGGGGAACATCTCCGGCTCGTATGAACTGAACTGGCCGTGCACCTGATTGAGGTTCTCCAGGCGGATGGGGAATCGCAAGTCTACGGTGGCCACAATGTTTTGCAGTTTGTACTCCATGAACTTGACGGGGAATCCCAGTTTTTGCAGGATGCGTGCAAACTTCCGGGAGCCAATGTCCGCCTCGATCTCGTTGCGGGCACCTGTGCAGATGATCTTGCCCGTCCTGAATATAAGGGCCGTGCACCTGGGCGAGTGCATTCGCATAATGACGCCGCGAAAGCGTTTGGGCGAGTATTCCGAGTTCCTAGTCCGCGAGTTGATTGCCTTGAGGTCCAGTTCACAGTTCACCGAGAAGGTGGCCACAATATTCCTGCAAATTATGGATTTATTATTGGGTTTCTATTGCACAAGGATTCCCAGTAATGTCGTCAACCAACTGCAGTCTGATCTCGTGCTGTGCATCCGTGCTGGGCTCCACCACCGCAGCCGGTTGTTGGGGCAGCAGGGCGGCGTGCGGATTGACGCCAACATTGCTGCTCGCCGCCGCATTGTCCCGATCCCTTTCAGCGTCCGCGATTTTAAAGTGAAACTGCATTGCCAAAAATTATAAACAAATCCAACATGCGACCGGACCAGTGTTGCACTATTTATTGAAGGAAAAATTAAATATGCCGGTTTGGTATTTTTATTTTACATATTGATAAAGCGTTAGGTACTTTGAGGTGCACTGAAAAAAATTAAACCAAACCTTTTGCCAAGATTATTAATTTAATATTATATTAGCTCTTAATATTGCAATAAGATCATATTCCGATTTGGTATATTTTTTATTATGGTGGGTATGATTCGATTTTACTGTCCATGCCCGACAATAATTTATGGCATATCAATTTTAAATTCAATCAAAAACAAATATTGCTTTTACGGAGTACATTACTAATTTTCTTGTATTATTTTATCAAAAATGATTAATTTATAATAGAATAGTGATTCCACTTCCAAAAACAATGGTGTTTGGGCTTGAGGTAAACTGAAAAAAAGTGAAATAAACATGTCGGCTTTATTGTTTTTAGAACGTGCAAAGGTTTTTTTAAATTATATTAGCTACGGCTTTAAATATTTCGATGAGATTATATTTTGAATTCGCTTTTAATTTATAATAGTGGGTATGAATTACTTTCACTTTATTTTAAATTCAATCAAAACAAAAATATTTCCTTTATGCAGTACACTAAAGTTTGTTTTTATTATTTTTTTAAAAATGTTTAATTCATATTTGTTATTGTTATTCAAATTGTTATTTGTTATTCCACTTCCACAGAAGCACTTTTTAGGCATAGGGTAACAACATTTTTTAAAATTATATGAATTTTTACGACAAGCAAACCTACTCGGACTTATATTTATTTTTATAAGCAAATTTGTTCAGCTAGTTTAAAAATAAACAAAGATAAAGAAAACTTAAACATTTTTATTTTTGCAACAATTATGCTTGCCAGCCCTGGGCGTATGGTTTCTATGCGCTACTCCAATCTGGTCACACAGCTCTCAGTAGGCCGAGTACTTTCAGACAATTTGACGACAATTTAAACAATAATGTCGGCCCACAGCGGCGGAACGGATTGGAATTCCGTGGTAAAAGCTCTGTTGCTTAACCGTACAGGAGCCTTAAACAAAAACGAAGTAGTTATTCTGCTAAAAGCGATCACGCGATGGTAAGCAAAGTCGATCAAAAATTTTTCCCTACCTCGAATGGCGCAGTGAAAAATATTTTGGGGACTACTGCAAGTGCAAAAAGTGACTTGCAAAATTAAATATGGCCGCCCCCAAGTGACGAAACAGCAAAATTATTTGAAATATCTGTATTTTCAAGAACTAACACAATGCCTTATCCATTATTTTGCCTAGCGAACATGATTTTTTCGAAGAGGAAAGCAATTTCACGCAGTTTTACACGGCCTTTGCGGCCCTGGCGGCTGACAAACTTATGCAAATCAAGACGAGTAAGTGCACCCCTAATGATTTTTCGCCAAAGAAAACACAATGTTTGGCCAAGAAATGCGTGATTCACTAGCGTTCGTGTGCTATATATATACAAATGTATAATGATTGTGTTTTTTTGCAGTTTGCCAGACGCAGATTTGTCAGCTGCACGATGCTACCGCTGTTCTCATCCGGTTCATCATATACAGGCTGCCCAGGGTCTCTGTATACGAGACCAAGTGGCTCCTGGGCGCCCTCAAGATGCTTTGCGAGGGACGGGAGAGTCCCTCCTCCACGTCGTCATCCATCTTCGACTACAATGCAGTGGCCAATGTCCTGAAGAGCTGTAAACATCCCGAGTCCACCACCAAGAGCATCCTGCCCAGCAGCAGTTCCTCAGGCGGCGGTGCCAGCAACGACAAGGAGTCGCCCAAGTCGGAGATTAAGCGATCCCGCTCGGACCTGTCCTCAGTCATATTGCAGCAATTGATAGCGCCTTTGGAACCGGGCAAAATGACCTGGGTTCCCCTGAGTGAGGAGGTCACCGACTGCACTGTAAGCAAGAAAAAATCTGAACAACAGCCCTGTTCTCAATAGTCATTTGTCTTGCTCATTACACTATGCTTATGGTTTAGTTACAAAGGTTTGCGCAAAAACCATATAAAACTTAACTTCAAAGCATGTTTAAAGAAATCAGAAACCGATTTTGGTTATCCTTTAAATAAGAAGTTTAATAATTTACTTAAGTGAACAAGGCTTATCATCTAAATTACCTAAAAAATACTAATTAAATATTATACCGTGCAGGACCAACTTCTGGCGGCTAATGTGGAGTACTTCCAGGAGCAAAATGGAGTTGATACCCTGCTGGATGTATGTGTTGGACTGCCAATACTGAATCGCTACCGCTCCAAGTACATGGAGACCATTAATGGCGGTAAACCGCTGTATTTGCCTCTCACGCAAGTGGAGGCCACAACTGTGAAATCGAGCATGAATCACATGCTCACTGATCTCACCATTTTGAGTCAGGCTCATGCTTTGATTGTTCTGCAGCCACTGACACCCAGTCGGATTGAACGCCTCTCAATGTGTGGCATTGCTGCGCTGTACAATGCCGTGCTCACTTCGATAGCCACCAGTGTACTAGGAATGAGCCAGGCTGGGAGCTCTCAGAAGCAGACTGCATCCACTAGTCAGGGCAGTGGCGGCGGTGGCTCAAGTGGTGGACAAACCAACAAAGACCACGACGACTTCGAGGAGCAAGCCTGTAGCATAGTGAACAAAGCTCTAGAAATCTACTCCTACATTGGCGATATGTTCAAGGCATCGGCCAGGATTCATGTGTATCAAAACCATCTCTGCTATGGCAGCTGGCTGCTCATTAGTGGAATTCAAGGAGCAATGGGTGCCTCTGGAAGCAGTGGAACCAGCTCGGAGACTTCATCCAAATCGTCAACCAAAGCGGCCAAGACTGGAACTGATGCGAGTACCACCGCTCCTACCACTCCCATAGCCAGAGTCAACCTATTCAAAGTTCAGCAAGGATTCGGTGAACTTAATGCAGCAATTGCCAATCACAGCATCAAACTGCTTTCGGAATTAATTGAGGATCTGAAGATTGAATCCGCCTGTGGACAAAGCCCCGAAACCGCCGAGCTGCCGGAACCGGCGCAGTTCGACATCTTGCAGAATTACAGTTCACTGGAGAGGATTGTGCGGGTGCTCAACACGGCCACGCTGCACCAGCTATTCACCTTCCTGGCCACAGTGGCTTATCGAAAGGCCTGCACCTTGAGACGAGCATCTGCCAAGGATCGCACGGAATGTGAACCCATAAGCTACTCAGATTCTACTACCTATTTCAACGATTCCCTTTCCTGCTCTGACAACTCCGAGGAGGACGACAGCGAGAGTTATTTGGGACACTGGTTTAAGGAAACGCTTTCTCCAGAAACTCATGACGATAATGCCAACACATCTACGCAAGAGCGTGGAGAACAAAAGAGCGCCCTTGTTCCCAAATTGGATGAGCCTCATGAATATCTAGATTTGGCGGCCGACATCTTCTGTTTTCTGGACCAATTTCTGGCCAATAAGCACGCATACATGCAGCGCTATGTAAAGGCGGGAGTCAGTGATCAGCAAATGCTGTTAATGGCTAATATAATCAAGGATTTCGACCGGGATGTCATGCGAAATGAGAGCGAGCAGCTTTCGGGTAACGCCCCAGCTGCTAATGCGGGAGCAGGATCCTCCGCAGGAGCTTCCACAAAGTGGCAAACCTCGATGATTCGTTTTTCGGGAGCAGCAGGACGCTATATCCACAATTTAATCTCCACTTCGCTGCTGTCCGAGCAATTGCAGTCCAATCTCTTGCAGCACTTGTCAATATCGCCCTGGTCTACCGATACCAACACCTGGCCCCTGCAAGTCTATCCGAGTACCTTATCCGTACTCGTGCAAATCCTGTTGCTAAAGCCCACCCAAGAGAAGGAGGCAGCCTGCCTGTCCGTGTGGCATCGCCTCATCAACACTTTGGTCGAGGGAGTTTGCACTTGGAACGCCGCCAGTGATTCCGACTATGAAGACTTGAACATTGAGCACGCCCAACTGCTTCTTTTCCTATTCCACTCGCTCAATCTGATGCAAAAAAAGTCTATCCTGCTTCTTACGGCTGGAGGAGTTATCCGTTGTGCTGAAGTTTGTCGAGGAATCAGCGGGGACCGTCCCGTTAGGAACAGCCAAATGATGCTGCTGTCGCGGCTGTTATTATTCTTGGAGTATCTAATGAAGCACTTGTACAATGCTCCTCCGGAATTGCTAGACCAGGTTCGCTGGAATCTTTTCAGCGTGAGCAGCATGCCGGAAACTCAGAAGATCACGGATCTGCTTAACAGCCGTACCAAACTGAACTCCTATTGCCGTCAGGATATTGAGGAAAAGTTCCGCAAGTCGGCCGGCGAATATGGATCTGGTAAGTGAGAATAAAAGTAAAAAAGGAAGCTTTACCACTTTACACCCTTAAACCATTACAGCGATTCGCCCAACTTTCTATTCCCTGGTAATGGGAGATCCCGAAAAACTTTATTGGGCGCAGGAGTTCAAATTGGATGGCTTGGCCTGGAATTTTATTCTCTGCACGCCAGACAAGCTCAAATATCCGCTTCTGGTGGATGCCCTGACTGACATACTTGCCATCGCCGACATGTCTGTGTATTCCAAAGACAAGGAGAAGGAAGCAAGCATGCATAATCTGTGTGCCATGCAGTACTGCTTTAGCATCGCCTGGAAGCTGGTCTTGGGTCTGCCCCCCTCAACTTCTCACGTCGAGTCTCTAAAAGTCGAGCGGTCACCCAACCTGCACTGCCTGATCTGGAGCATACGCTGCCCCCTGGCCAGTTCGCACTACCTAATGGTTAACAGTCTAATCAAACAGGGAATGTATACCCAGTACGCAGAGACGCTGTGGAATCAGGTCGGCGATATAGCTGCCGATATGAAGTATAGTCTTAAACAAACAATTCTTGGCGTGGAAGCGTTCAATAGTCAGATGAACGGCAACGGTAAGATCCAAATCAGTATAATTTATAAAATTTTAAAATTTTGAGAACATTCAATTATTAATTATTTCCCTTCTGCAGGAACTCCCCG